CTCATACCACAAAAGTTAAGGCCTGAATATAAGAGGGAAGTTCAATATGGCTGGTGCAGGGAAGAAATAAAAGTGGAGGCCTAAAAGGCCTGAACATAAGCTGATGCCTTATTAAGCACAGACTTATTTAATGGCATGTCTTCTTACTCTGCACACTGCAGCTATAGAATCACATATATCCTAAGATTTCCAGGTCATGACTCTATCCACACATATGGATGAACCCAAAACAACTGTCCAATCCAGTACTATCTTGTGAGGGCTGATGCAATTATCTGACTGCATCAACTGTGCCTCAAACTCAGCAAGCCCAGTAATGAACTGGATATATATCCTTCCCCATTCACTTCCAATCCCTCCTTTGATACCCACCCATTCAGATATCCAACTCCAGAAAACTGAAGTAAAAGAAGCAAAATACTATTTATAATGTATGTATTGCTTAGTAGATAAAAGGTATTTTTAATTTAATTTTTTAACAAACATATAAAGTAAAGATTAGTCACATTTGAAAGATGAATAAACTGATGAATAAAATGGCTATATGACATGCCAAAGCAAACAAATGACAGAATTGAGATTAGAACCTAAAATTTAGGAAGCGTAGGTTAGTCTGGAGTCTACAGACAGATAACTAAATATGAAGTATAGCAGAAAAAATGAATTGCCAACCCAGCATCCAGTCCTCCCCTTCAGTGTGCCAATAGTGCCTCAGACTCAGCATGTTCAGTAACAGAACTTGGATTTCTGGCCAGACACATTCCTGTCCAGCTAAAAAACATATCTAAGACTCTTGAGAATAGATGGTTACTTCTTTGTTCCTTTCTCCCTCCTACTGCTTAGAATATGGGAATTTTAGCTAGAATTCTAACAATGATTCTAGGTTCAGAAATAAATGCCTATAACTTAGGGATTACAGAGTAGGAAACTGTGAAGAGTCGAGTCCCTGATAAGACTAGCTACCATACCAACCTTCAGCTGTCTGCTTCTGGGCTTCTTTCACAATGAGTAACAAACTAATAAAATGTTGAAGCTACTATTGTTCAAATCTGTTACAGTCAGACCTAATGCTAACTGATACAGAGGCTTTGAGCATATTCTAAGAAAAAGATAGAGGGCTGTATGAGATATTTTAAAGGAAATATTAAAATTCATGACAAAACTACCCCAAAAGAAATATATGAACAGTCATATTACATATAGAAGAGTTTTTAAAAGATAATTCCTTCAGTGTCCCTATTAAATGTTAAATATTAAATGTTACAATCATGTCTGGGGTCCACAACTTTTAAAGAATGTGACAAAAATTAGACATCAAGAGCTGGCGTGGTGGCACACACTTATAATCCTAGCACTCAGGAGCCTAAGGCAGAAGGACCACCTCGAGGTTCTAGGTCAGCTTAGGCTACATAGTAAGTTCAAGGCCAGTGTGACCTACACAGTGAGACCATCTCAAAAAAATAAATAAAGCAAGCCATCAAAAAGTACTAACCAAGCATTCCTAACAGAATGGGAAAAAAATCTTTTAGTAAATAAAATCTAAATGTAAAGTTGTTCCCAACCCTACTAGTTTAGGTTATTTTGCTAGAAATAAGTAATACGTCCGTCATGGTAGCACACGCCTATAGTCCCAGCACTTGGGAGGCTGAGGCAGAAGGATCACCATAAATTCAAGGCCAGCCTGGATTACACAGTAAATTCAAGACCAGCCTGAACTACACAGTAAGACCCTGTCTCAAACCACCCCCCAAAAGAAATCAGTAATGTGAGGACAATGTACAAACTACTTTCAAGCACAGAATTCAAAGCATTAAATTCAGCTAATCCTGGCACTCTGACAAACTGAGGAAGGAACGTCACAAGCCTGACCTCAACCTGAGCAACCTAGCAACTTAGTGAGGCGCTGCATCAAAAGTAAAAAAAAAAAAAAAATGAAGGGAAAGAATAGCTATAGCTCAATGTGAAGGCACTGAGTTCAATGTCCAGTGCCATCAAAAAAAAAATCATGCTCCACTAAAACTTTTTCTAGGGAAAATAAGCTTAAAGGCAAGAACACTTCCTGACAAGGGATGCACTAAACACACTACATCCAGGCCCTTCACACCAGGGACAGTCAAGACTTCCACAACTAAGCAGGAAACTGGAAGCGCACCAGGAAGCAGGATACTGAAGTATCTGGGAATCCCTTCCATCTCTAAGACTCATTTCTGTTTCAGGAGGGAGAAAGGAGCAGTGGTCATCCTGTCACTCTGACTGGCCTAGCACTCAACCATGTTCAGCTGAGTCACAGAAGAACTGAGAAAGCTCTTCATATCCAAATCTCACACCAATTAATTCTGCCTGAAAAATGTTCTCTCACTCTAAGAATATATTCTTCCTGCTCAATTAGGGGTGCCTCCGCTTCTATCCTCGTGGGACAGAGTCCCCATCCTTTCACCCTCAACATGGGAACTGTCATTGCCCCCAAGTCATCTGGCACCACATACATACTATACATATAAAACATTTTTAAAACATGAATATGAAAAAAAAAGGTCCAAATGAAATACAGAAAAACTTTACAAAGTGCTATATCACTTTTATACTTAATCCCTTTAAAAGGTCTCATTTTACAAAAGCCTATAGTGTACCACGGGTATTTCCCACAAATACTGAAAAGAAAAGTGCAACAGTCCTCTCTAATCATTATGTACAATCTGAAGTAAAAGCACTCTCAATACATTTGTGCAGAAAAAGGAATCACCCGCTTTCTTAAGCCTCAGCAAAATATTCCAAAACATAATGGGTAGGCAGACTGATGGCTTCAAGATGTCCACAACTTTGTGAGAGTGATTAAATTATCCTGGATTATTCAAGTAGGCCTGATCCAATCTCACAGGTCTTGAAGAGCAGATCTCTTTCCCCAGCTGTGGTCAGAGGTATGAGACTGAAGAACCATCTAAACTTTTCTAAATTTAAAAGGCATAAAAATTTTAAAATATCTTGACCTACAATAACAATATAGGCCTTTAATATATGTGTCATTACAGCATAAACTTAGTAACTAATTTCCTTTCTATTAACATTATACTACCAAGGATCAAAAAAATAATTACTACCTCAATTATCTAGCTTAATCCACTTGAAACTGATAATTTCATCAAAAATTTTTTTTTTCAGTCTGTACAAGATTTAGAAACTAATCCACTTTGGGGACACATTTCTTGGATCAGGCGGTAGGGACTCTCTGATCCAAGGGAAGACAATATTAGATTACATCTTATTCTTCGCTAGAACTTATTATTTCAATATTTTTGATGTGCTTTCTAACCACTTGTTTATATGCCCTTTTTATTTAAAAGCTTCTTTGAGATGATTCAAAATTATTGAGACATTGATTTTATGATGAAGACAAGGGCTTCTCGGCTGTAAAGGATTTACTATGAGAGCAGAGGTTCATAGGATCAGTGGGGTTGTCTTGGCCAAGTTCTGGAGACCCAAGGGATCATCTCTGTTAACCTGTGAGGCTTTAACTCTGCCATCTGGAATTGAGAGTGAAAGATTTCCTCAGCAGAAGCAGGCCTTTCAGAGTCTGGGGGTGCGGTTCAAAGGTTGAGTAGTTGCTTAGCGCATGAAAGCTCCTGGATTCTACCCTCAACACTTGCGACCTTGGTGAGCACAAGAAGCTTGATCTACTGGAGTCTTGCCAACTTTGAGTGAAGACTCTACCTTGGGAGGGCTAAGCCCACTCAATTATTTTCTAATCTCAACATATTTTGCCTTGTTACCACCTTTACAAGCTCAAGCAAGTCCTCTAACCTCTAAAAAAATGATCCTTCACCTGCAGAACGGGAATATTCATACTTCTTTTTTAGTATATGTTTATAGTACATAGTGTTTACATTCATCTTAGGGAGTGGGTACATGTACTTTACATCTTAATTCTTTTTATTCTCCTTCCCCTCCTCCCCTGATCCCTCTGTCTCTAGATCCCCTTCCTATTTGCAAAAGATCTATTTCCTTGTTTCCTAATGTCTTTTATTTTATTGTTTAAATTATTTATACCTTGGGTTTCTCATATAAGAGAAGTTATTTGATATTTGAGCTTGTGTGCCTGATTTACTTAACTAATTATGGTGACAGTGAATCCACTTTCCTACAAATTGATCAAATTTATCCTTCTTTATGGCAGAGTAGTACTCCATTATATAAAATTTCACATTTTATCCATTCATCTACTGATAAATATATAGGCTGCTTCCAAAAATTAGCTATTATGAGGAATATCAATGCCTGCCTAGTCATCCATCAATGAGTTGCCAAGATTATCTAGGATTAAAAACCCCAAAGCAGGATAATCATTCTAGAAAGCCACAGAGTCGTAAAATCCATTCTCTGCAGGAACCATTCACCTATTTCTACAGATTCTCTTCCCTTCCACCTCCAATGCATTTAAGCCCCCAAATCATTAGCCGAAGCACCTGGGTTCCTCTAGCAAGTTCACACTCCTCTCCACCACCTCCACCCTTCCTGTCTTCCAACCCAGCACCTTCTACCTACCGGATCCTCTAAGCTTCCTCTTTCAAGAATCCCACTCCATCCACCGACAGTCTTTCCCTTACATCTCCTTTGCTGGACTTAGGACAACCAACCCCTCACTTCTCTAACCCTTCTCAGTACTTGATCCGTTCTATCGCCCCACCACCCTCACATCTCACTACTGCCACCAGTCAACAAACACCTAACCTTCCTCAGCTCAATCCAACTGCTCAGGCACCCTGACAGTTGCAGGGTGTGCGGGAAGGGAAAGAGGAGTGACTGCTAATGGGTACAGGCCGCTTGCGAGTGACAAAAATGTTCTGGAATTAGGGATGAGGCTGCAAGACCATGTAAATATACTAAAAGCAACTGCACTGCATTTTACTTGTACTTTTAAAAGTTGGGTGTTATGGAATGTGAATTATATCTCAATTTAAAAATGTGTATGTCAAATAAACGTGAACACACGCACAACTGCTCACCCTGCCCATCGCACACGCCCATTTGTCAGGCCAACATCACTCCATCTCCGTCCGGAAGCATCGACGTGCCCGTCGGTGTCCCCCAACTCCCAACCCGGACCCGGCCCGAGTTCCCCATCACGCTCAGGTCTAACACACCCCAGGGCCGGCCGTGGGGAGTCACAGGGACGGCTCCCGCGGCTTGGCTGTGGCCCAGTCCCCGCCGGAGAAGGGCCCCTCCTCTCCGCGCATACAGAGCTGCCCACCTGTCTCAGCCTGCGGGGAGCCTCGCGTCCAGCCCCACGCACGGCAG